TTTCCGCGGGGAAGGGGAGGCCGTTTCGGGACACCAACCTGTTGGCATTGATGTAGAGCGTGCGTGCCTTCGCAGAACCGCGGGAAGGAGCCATCGAAGGCGAAGGCGAAGGCGAAGGCAATGGTGTAGTCGGAGATGGAGATCGCGGTGGTGGGATAGGAGAACGTGGCCTCGGCCAATTCAAACACGATGTGGATGTTCATGGGCTCGAATGGGTCGTTCATCACCTCGCCCACACCCACATTGCTCGTGCAGTACATCGCGGATTGCTTCCCATCTCCCATCGTCCACAGCGCCACGTCCCTCGCCCCATCGCCCGCCACGCAGCGCAGCACAGCGCAGCATCGGCAGGATGGGCCGGCAGGAGCCCGTCCCCTATCGATCGATCGATCGATTCCCACTGCTGATAGGCGTTGCACCCATCCGTGATCATGCCCCACTAGTCCACATCGCACTTCGTATCCAACACTTGCCCCAAGTGCCCTTCCGGCTACCCCGCCGCTTCGTCCGCGGGGCACACCACCGCCACGCACCTCACCTCTCTTCCATTCCACCACTTCCCACACGCCCGCACCACGCACACCTCCACCTTCCCATGCTCCACAGACCCACAAATGCACAACTGCACCGTCTTGGAACTCGCCTGCTCCCACTGGCCATTCCAGTTCACTCGGCTCCCATCAATCAGAGGCGAGGACCGTACCCACAGCAGTTCGCATACTCCGCCTTCTTGTCCCATTCTCCCAAGTTCCACACACGCTCCGCTTCTACAAACCTACAGCTCTTGCTCCCATAGTTTGCCCTTTCACTCATCGCAAATCCGTTCTCTCTACCACACTCTACCACCTCACAATATGAAAATGAAAATACGAGAAACAGAACAGATATCCTAGGCAAGAACGTCGTGCCTGTACCAGATACCTCCCACGTTGCAAGTTATCTCCATGTATCCGCGGTCACACATGCCATGAATGGGTTCGCCACGTTGCACAGTTTGAAGTACAGAAATTCCTCACTCGGAACACACTCCACACAGCAAAAATGGAACCAGGGTCCACCGCCATTATGGTATTGAATGCGTTCACGATGCATATCTCACACACACAGTTTAGTCAAAGTAACGATAGCGCACACTACACTAGCTTCTTCAAACACACCAACTTGAGGACAGAACCCATCCCAGCTACAATACTTACACTCCCACAACACAACACACAAAAACACATAGAAGTCCGAAAACAAAGCAAAAGACAGGACATACAAGTCCAATTCCAAATTTTGAATACATTCAAACCCAGTAAGACGAAGCTAATAGCTTTTATTGTAAAACAAATGATTTCAAAAATAGACAGGAATTGTGCAATTGTGAAAATAGTGTTGAAATTGGGTATGAGTGGAAGAATAGATTTCGAATAGGGAGGGAGTTGTTTTTACTGTGAAATGGAAGGAGATGAGCGGAAATGGGATATCGTGGAATGAATAGATCGAAGAGTGTTGTTTCCAGTGGAAGCGTTTTGTTTTTCGTTCTATTCATTTGGAATCTAATCTAGATGGGATAGAAAGAAATAGGGTATGTAGAAGATAATGATAGGAATGAAAATGGAAAAGCTAGCGATAAGCAGTTTTTGGGTTATCATTTATAGTAATAATATGTGATATGTGTATAGTAGAATCGAATAGTAGAGTTTGTGAGAAAGGTGGGTGTGTCGTTGAAGAACTGAGCAAAATAAGGTAGAATACATAATATATTTTATACGAACAAATAGAGATATATTCATATTCCACTGTTTCTAGGTTTTTGGATAGTTGGTGTCCAGTTTTTGTCGTTTTGATGCACTCTGAACCTATCAGAGATTGTTATATTGCCAGAGAATACTATCCCTTATTCTAACCCATATAGTATCCCCTACCTGCCAAATAATGCAGAATATCTCCTATTTAAAGGAAGGATCGAATTGTACACTTCAATAGGGATACAAAGTGATTCACAATGTTGTTCTATTACGAGCATGAATAACAATAGTATACATAATACTTGCTGTTTGAGTTGGTTGATGAAAGTGAAATGCTTTGGTTCCCAACTCATTAGGATGAATGGAATTACTCACTAATAGTGATATCAGTATTGTTGATGATAAAGCTGAAATCCATAAGAATGGACTCTATGGGAATGAGTAGTTGTCCAATATCAAGCTGTGAGACATATCTGGCTGATTTGTTGGAGGCAACAATCAAACTATTACTTTTCAGATATATAGATATATGTATATGGAAGATAGACATTGATATCTATCTATCTATCTATCTTCTTGAATACCTTACTGTAGTTGTACTTACAAGATATCGTGAATGAGATGTACACATTCGAATTCAATGAGATCGGACGGTCATTCGCGTCTGTCAGTACCCAATCAATGGAATCCAGGTTCGATTGTTCAATCACATCGATCGATAGGTTGTCCCAGGTGATCATGTTGTTCAGTCCCATCGATACATGAATCAGGTTATCGATCAGCGGACTCTTCAGACCAAATGTTTGAGCATTGATACTACTGTACACTCGGATCACACTCATGCCATTTGTGATGTCGTAGGGTTCCTCTGGTTATTAACACCTCGTGTGGGGATGTCCCCGCATCGATTAATATCACTTGATCGGTTGGTACGTTGTGCAACACGAAATCGGTATAGAGTGACACAGACGAGATGGAACATTGATCGAGTGATAGAGGATTGTCCAGCTTCACTTCCTTCTTCGTAGTATTGCCGAACACTTCCATCATACTGAACTGGTTCATCGGTAGAATTGAGGAAGGCAATTGATCGTACACATCTTCGATCGTCAATTGGAGTTCGAATTCGCCGTTCAATCGCATTATATTACCATCCATATCACGGAACAGGAACATCAATCGATCGAATCGAATTATCATCGGAATGCATATGTCTTCCACGGTGCGGAGATAATTAACCTCAGAATCGTTACTATTCATTGTGGTGAACAGGTTGTTGTTCTGGTTGGCAATCTTCAGATCGGAGGAATGCACGAGGGACGAGTACACTTGGATCACTTGGCGATTTCGCGTGATATCAATCACGTTCGATCCATAGAACGAAGTGGGTAGAATGACCATTTGTCCTTCCAAGCCGAGGATTTCTCGAATATCCGGAGTATTGGTGTAATCGATAATGTGTGAGGACTGGATATAAATACACCCATAACTCAAAGCCTTCGTAATATCGAGAATGTAGTATCAGTCATGGTATTGAGGATGGCAATGATTAGGCTGATCGTGTAGTATTCATGAGGAATCGTTGGCTCTTCGTCATTCGTGTTCGTGACCACATTGATAGAATCCACATTGCTGAACATGACTTGATTGGGTGTAAACAGGACAGTCATAGAAGTGATGTAAGGATTCCGATACTTGTAAGGGTTGATCCATTCGAACGAGTCATTGGTGGGTGGACGTTGGATGAGCATGGAGTAGTATGACTTGCCTCTCTTTACTATAAATAGCGGGAGTGAACAAAATAAGCTAAGGTTTACGTTTTACACACCTTATTTTTTATGAAAGCCCAAAACTACAAGTTGTCAAGGGCGAGTAACGGCGAACGATGGAAGATGGTGTCTGAGGGGCGACTTCGAGCGGCCAGCTCGCAGTTGACAAGGTTTGAAAACAACTTTCGTCGAAAATGTCCAAAACCTATTTTCGCCCAAAACGCGTCAATACATAACTGTTGCTTAATAAAAATAATTCTAAGAATGGATGAATATATGTGTGGAATAATATAAAATAGTAAAAGAACAGCATCGAGACTTCTCAGCGAGTCACCCACACTGGTACTAACTCGACTCGTGATGACTTAGCTTCCTAGATCGGACGGGTTAGGGCGCTTTCCATCAGATATGGCCGTTCTCATTTTATTATTATTCAATTACCTATTTAAACATCACATTCTTATCATCATTCACTCACACCCCATTTCAATTACCCTCAATTCTTTTCATTTCATTTCTATTCTTCTTTTATCAACAAATCAATTCACTCAATTAGTGAATGAGTGTGTGAATGAGTGACTGCTTTGTTTTATATTGATGACGACTACTATTCTTTGAATTAGTAATATGCATGTACGATTGATATTTCTATTAATTGCAGCATTCAAGTTTTATCGCAATCAATTTTATTTAATGATTATATAATTCATATACCTATGTTTTGTGACTCATTGATAAACAAACAAACAAAGAAATGATAGTTGGATTGATTGAATGGTGAATCCAATATTATTTTTAATGCTTTTCAATAGGCTTCTATTCTATTCTATTCTAGTTTCATTGCCTTGTTTTATCCATTTCACCTCTATTTGATTCTATTCTATTCTATTCTATGTATACAGTGATCGATTCCTATTCAATAAGTCATAATCAATATCCTAATTCAATATCAATCATTCTATTGTATTGTATTGTATTATCTACCGATTTAACAATGGATTCACAAATGTGAATAATCATCCAATATCAATCGATTCCAACCATTCCATTGTGTCACTATCAAATCCAATCTTATTATTCATGATAATGATTATTATGATGATTATTCGAAGCAATCAGTTTCCTATCAATATTGAACAAATCCTAGTTCAAACCTATTCAAACCATCATTTGTATATTATTATTATTATTATTATTATTATTATTATTATTATTATTATTATTGGTAGATTGGATTCATCATTTGTGAATGTTCAATATGTGATCATTGGGTCATTGGTAATAATAATGATGATAATGATCGAAAACAATGATTGATTGATTGATTGATTGATTGATTGAAACAACAATCATAATTGAGTATCATTGTTAAAATGGTAAAGAAGAACATCATAATAATCAGGCAGGATTGATATTTTGATAATTATAGAATCATGAATTGTGATCAAGAATCGGTTTCAAACAAACAAACAACTAATCAATCAATCAATCAATGGAAATGTTCCTAAACAATGACGAATCACTGAACAAATCAAATCAAATCAAATCAAATCAAATCAAATCAAATCAAATCAAATCAAATCAAATCAATATTATAGATTTAATGCTTGATTTCGACAAGATTAGCGAGAATGGAAGAAACATCTATAAATCAAATCAAATCAATCAAACTATACTCGAAATTGATTTCGATCGAACATATCGGAATAACCAAGATAGTTTGACATTTCGAAGATTTGGAATATCTAAATACTATCAATATTCAATATTCAGAAATACTTGCCAATGTCACTACACGAGGATTATAGAAGCTAAATCCAACAGATGTTATTGATGTTAGATTTGGAAGATCTACAAAACAAATCATTACCAATCAATTCATTATTACTTCGAAGTGTCAATGTATTTAAATAATCATTTCTTCCAAAAAGTGCACCATAACCGAGTTGAATGGATTGTAATGATGGAAGATCTACATCAATCATTTCATTCCAATTCATTCAATACTTTCGATTATTGTTGATAAGGGATAACGGAATGCATTATCACCTAATGTAATGGATTGTAGATTTGGAAGATCTATGCATTACCCAAATATTCAATATCATATCAATACCTCGAATCACAAATGAACTATAATAGAAATTGCATGATTTACTTCCAATGGTACCAATTTGAATGAATTGTAATTGTGGTAGATTCTTCAATTCAAATTCGCCAGCATAATCACTGAAACTATATTTACCAATTTGAATGGATTTCAATGATTCACAATTCAATATGTGGAATGATTTCGATTGGCCGTTGCATATATTCAAGAGATAATCCATGTCTGGATCTTCATACTCAAAATCATCCTGTTTTACTTGCGTAAATGAATTGCTTCCGATTTTGATAGTTTTCAATCGATTCAATCCATCGATTTGGAATGCTTGCACTGATTCAAAACATTCATTGCCGATTTCGATTGATTCCAAATTATACAACAATGAAACATCCCAATCAATCAATATACAATTGTCAATCAGTTTCAAATGTTTCATTCCGGTATTCAGTGGTTTGCTTCCATCTCCTTCATATTTTTCATCAGTATCACTTTCAATTCCATTATACCATTCACATTCATTCACTAATTTACCATATCGATCATACACTCTTCCTCTTCCAAATCGCTTATCATCACACCAATATCCTTCATATTCAATCAAACCATTATTATGATAACTCGTTCCATATCCAAATCGTTTCCAATTGATCATTATGCCCTTGTACACCAAGAATCCATCATCATCATACATTTCACCATATCCAAATGGAATTCCTATTTTACCTTCTTTATTAGTCAATATCAATCCTTCAAATCGACTTCCATGATCCAAATCCACGATTCCTTCTACTACTTCTATGGATTGTTCTTCATTATATGAAATAGCACCAATTTGATGATTTCCAAACACTTTCAACACTTTCTGCTCATTGACCACAAATCCTTGATTCATAAATACTCCATTATCAAATTGCAATACTATACATTCTCTATTACTCAACATGAGTGAAATCCAACCATTTAGTTTCATTTCTTTACCCAAGCATCCCTGCACATTTTGAATAATGGAACTATCAATATGATAGTTACTAATAGCAGAATTGACAAAATCAATAAACTTTTGCATCGAAATGAAAAGAAATATGGAAACATGGGTTTTTATCAAAAATCTATCATTATTTCTCGATAGAACACACGTCATGGATTATTTCGTATGGCTTTGATATACTGGTGTGTTACAAACTAGAATACATAGGATAAAATCTCATTTTCTCCACCCATTTCTATTTTTCTATATTTTGGTGCATTTCCATCTATTCATTATATTTGTGTTATTTTTAGATACTTATAGCTTTGATTGTAAATTATTACGCATTTTGATCACCTTTACTCTCTCCTGTCAGAATGGCTGTTCTATTAAGTCTATAATGGATATATGTTCTTCAAAATATATCAATTATGTGGTAGTTAATCTTGTTTTGCAACAATCGAACTCACAATAGTGAATACTGTTGGAATGGTTTGATTCGTAATAGAGAGTATGGTAGTAGTATGTAGAATGCAAAATCCATCATTTCTATTTGACAAGTGGATTATTGTATTGATTCTCTGTTGATACTTCGATTCTATTCTGTCACAATGATCATCCATATTGAGTACAAAGAATGATATTGCAGAGAAAGGAATGTGGTTCATAGATTGAAATGGTGAATAGGAATCATAGTATCATTAAACAAAACAATCGATTGAATAATATGATGGATGGAATCCATGAATCCTATGAATGAAAACCTTGCTTTCTATTTGATCAACAAAACAATGTGAAATGCAATGTGATTAACATAGCAATAGTATTAAATAAACAAGTAATATTGAGTGAGTGAGTGAATGAATGAATATGCCATCCATCATACAGATCTCTTCCACTCACTTCAACATCTGATTTAGCAGTGAAACCAGTTGGAGTGGATTCTACCTCACTATCTCATTTAGGGGTGCTCGGGGTGTTTTGGGTTGTGTTTTCTACGCTCCACCTCGAATTGAAACATCAATACTCGGCGTCTCTTTGTAAATGCGGTCAGATTGACTTTCCCTTTGCGAGCCGTTACCTTGGCAAACCGCTTCAGATTAGACGCGTTCACATCGAATTTGTGTAAATCGCGGAGAACTACACAGAATCAAAGTAAACCAATAAAATCCAAATGGCCGTCTAGAGGGAACCCTGGATTGGAGTAGCTACGGCAAATCCTCTTCACGGCGTGATTATCCTTGGCACTCCGCAAATCGGAATTCTCTGTGTGGATGTATCTGTCGAACAGCACCATCAGCTTCACTTGTTGAACCAGCGACGCTCTGCAATAAACACTTTTCTCCATGGCTCCACCTGTCTATTCTCAAGGCGATGGAGTCGGAACGGCGTGTAGTTCTCGAAGTCGCGTTCTACCATTCAGCCATCGCCTCATTCCCCACTCAGCCGCCCTTTCCATCCGTTCTTCACCACTCTGAAATCCATCGCAGAGGGCTAGCTGTCAAGTGGAAGCAGTGTCGGACTGTTCAGTGCCTGTTTCTCCGGATCGCCGAACGGGAACGATGTGTTCAGATCGACTTGGATAAACGAAATGAACTGCTTCGGCGTGGTTTAAGTCAGTCGTTCGTTCTGCTCGCGGAACAATTGGTTCACTTGGTTCTGGAATTCCTGATTCACTTCCTGCTGGTTGTACCTTTTCAGACGGAAGAGATCTTTGTACTCGTTCTTTCCATGCCGCTCAACGTATCCAACGAGCGACCAGCGGTTCAATACGTCGATCTTCGCCTTCGAACAGCCCAGATCGTGCGCGATGTGGCGCAGTTCTCCCATTTTGAGGGTTCGCAGGTCCGGCTGTTTCCTCGGGATTTCTGTCTTTTCCTAGAAATCCTTTTCATTAAGCTATTCTTGTGAGTCCATGTCTTGATCTGGATTGCATCGATGTCGCTGCCCGCCATTGGATTTTCTTTTCGAGAACGAAGATACTAGTACAGAAAGGCGCGTGGATGAGCGAGTACCTTGTTTGGAAAATCGAAATACGCTTCGTCGACGGTATCTTCGTATAGATTACCGAGGTAGATATCGTGAGTCATGCTCATTCGCGTCTTCTTCTTCTATCCATTTATCGCTCTTCGCATCGTTACCTCGATTATCGTACTGATATACTGATCGGTGAGGATCCACGACGTTCGACACATGCGATCCCCAAATAGTTCGCATCGTTTAATTCGATATTGATAAAGTAAAGTATGTCGTGGTAGAAATAGCGTTTCGCCAGCGTCTCGCTGTCCAGCGATCCTTCCAATCTATCCAGCACGATCCTATCCAGATCCATAATCTGTTTATTCGTTGAATCATAGATCAGCTCCAAACACTCCTTGTAACGCATCAATGCTACATTTCAGATTCTCTTTCCTCGTCACAGATGATTTTGTGAAGTCCATAATGTCCGACACCCCCGCATCCTTCAGCCAGTAGTACGAAACTAAAGAACGTTACATCAAACACACCTGCTCGGGAATCAGATTGCGAGGAACCGACACAGGGTAGTTGTTTCGCATTCTATACCGATGGATAATCCCGAATTTTGGAATTCACGTTTCTGGATGTATTTCTGAGGCAAATACTCCTCGAATTGCTGCACGATAGACAGATAATCCTTATCGCCCGGCAGAAACACACACATATTCGGCTTTATTTTGCCCCCAAATACAGAGTATCCGCTTTTCGAATCGACGCTTTGTGCATTTGACTCGCCTAAGAAAATGGTTCACGCAGTCTAGTCAAAAGTGGAAACGTGGAACTACAATTCGATCTGGATAATGAGGAGAGAATTGGTGGAAGGAAGCTGTAAATGAAATGGATCGAATTATGGAAAATTCTTCGTGTTGAAACAAGGGAGTATTGTGGAGAAAAGAGCAGAAGGGAGTCTGCTGCTCTCCCTTTTCCAGTATTCCCATGAGAGATATCAGCTCATTTAACTTCAGCACACGATTGACGTTTTCGACAGGCTATAAATCTCTGATTGAGACTTCGAATAGCGATGCAATTCGCCCAGGGACACTCGGAATCGATCCAGTTGATAATATGCGCGCTTATTTACTGGTTTAATAACAATATGGGTGGCTGTAGCTAGGAGGATTCGATGAGAATTCGATGTTCCGAGTTCGTTGAGAACTCCGACCCAGACCGAATCTCCCGATCACTCTCTCCACGAAGGATATGGATGACATTGCATCGGAAGTGACTGTGAAGCCAGCATTGAAAGATGGTGTAGTGGTAGTGATTCCTCTGCACATTTCAAAACCGATTCAAAGTGGTAAGGCGAGCATTACCGCGTCCGTTGTGACGAATAATGGAGTGAAGAAGCAGTTGTCGGCTTCGTTAGATTTGGTTTCTACCAAGTACAATCCGAAGCGCTATCTGAACATCGAGGAAATCAAGCCTTCGTACTCTCTGTTCAGAAAGAGAACCTCGCAGGGAGTGGAGTTTTTGTGTATGCATCTGGTCCTGCAGGCGAACCGTATCCCAGTCTGCCTGTGAGTGTGAAGCTGAACCACCTCTACAGCACATCGACCTTCCAATTCTCGCTCGAAACAGACGAGAAGGGAGAAGTTTCGCTGGGTCTTCTCCGCAATATCACCCGAATCGGTGTGAATGGCACTGTGTTCCCGCTTCATTTCGAAACCCTCAACGTGAAAAAGAACTGGGAAGTAACTGAGAACGAAGAGGTTCAAGCTCTGATTCCTCTCATCAGCGATGATTTATATGACTATATGTTTGTTTGCGAGTCGAGTGAGGACGAAATTGAATCTATTCTTTGATTGCATATTTAATATATGCTGTTTGTGATTATACACAGACAAACCCACAAATCACATATTAAAAATGAATACTAATGAACTACTTTAATCGTATCGTGTTCACAATAATCAATCCATATGACCCGCAATTAGTCATTTCATACCCTATCATTCATTCCTCGCATTGCCAATGAACAGTCTTCATCATTTCGTATTTCACTCACTATGCAGTATCTGATTTTACATTTCACTCATTCCCAATGTCATTCAAAAGGAAAGGCAAAATCGATCAATATTCTCATCAAACAAACATCCAAAAAGACTCTACAGATACAACGACGCAGCAAACACAATATCTCGCTTAATCAGCTTCGACCCCATCTCGAATTTCTCCGCCTGTGCCTTATCCCCAATCGCCATGACCGCCGCTTGCACCTCCTGAATCAGCTCATCTACATGCAACGGCTTCCTCTCGCCTACCCAAACGTCGCGTGCATCGCGTAATGGTTCCCTCAAAGATCGTCGTCATCTTGCAAATATCCACGAACTTCGCCCCACTCGCCCATTCGTACATGATTTCCATCATCACCGGCTTGAACTGCTCCACATACTTCTCCACATCGATCGGCAGCTTGCACTCCTCGCACACCGTCGCCACGCGTCTCGCCGTTTCCAGCAACTTCGCGTACGGCTTGGCCATTTCAGGTCTTGGCTTGATCACATCATCCGTCTAGGAATCAGCCAGCGAATTCGACTCGACTTTCTCTAAAAACACCAGCGAAGCCAGGATCGCCACGCACTGCACCGGCGTCAACTCGATAAACAGACCGTCATAGATGAGCTCAGTCAGAAGAAGCTCATCCGCAGAGTTAATTTCGCACGCGATTCGGCCCTTCGCCTGCACGACGTCCATTTCGTCGATGTACCCCAGTCTTCGCAGCACGCGCTTCATTTTCCCGAGCGTCTCGCTGAGAACCAGCGCCGAAGAATTCGATAAATCCTTCTCGCGGAGCGAGAGCGTTCGCGTGAGTTCGGTCTTGCGAGCGAAAGCAGCGAGCGCCTCTGCATTGGCAGGCTCGGAAGGATCGAAGGACAGCTTGTCGAGTTGCTGCATGATTCGTTTGCGCGTTTCGTCGAGTTTCGAGAACGTTTCGTCTGCGATTTTGAGGTCTTTGTAGGGGTCCAGAGTCGGCGGAGCGCCGTTGTATCGCGATAAAACCTCGCGAAGCGTGTTCGCCACCGTGGTTCGATTCGAGACCGGCCGCAGATCCTTCGGCATAAAGATTCGAAGCGAGCTCAGCGACATGACGCAGGAAAGATACAGCGAAACGACCTGCATCGTGGGCGTTTTTCCGCTTTCTGGCGGGATTAAGGAAGCCAGCGTGGATCGCTCCGAGCACTAGAACTCACTCCACGCAGAGAATCGAACGTAAAGAATCGCATCGACGATGTATTTCGTCTCGACGGAGCTCGTCGCGGATCCTTCTTCGAAGTTCTTGTTCTTGCTGAAGCCAACGATCACGCCCCAGCCGAAATCATTCGCTCGGTCGCGAATGCGAACCAGCCGGCCATTCTGGAGGAAGGGAAGCACGTATTTGGGAGTGATCGCGATCGCTCGCATCTGCTCCTCGACTTTCTCGCACGCGTCGCGCATTTTGGCGACCGTAGAAACCAGTTTCTCGTTTTCAATCTGCGTGTTACCAACACGTTTGCATCAATTATTACTGAAATCGAGTCGATCTCATAGCGCAACTGCTCGCATTCAGCTCGGATTTTGGGAGCATCGAGCTGGTTTTGGTACTGATAGAACGATCGCGTGATCATATACTCCGGATTGGCGTTCTCCACGCGCAGCAAATTCAGCAGCATGTTATAGCTTCGCGTTACGCCCCTCATTCATTCCCACCCCAAATGGAACGAGCTGAACAGCGGGTCGGCCTTGCCGGTTAAGATATGCTTGATTTCATCGGCTTTGCCGGCCTCATCGACGATCTGAATCACGATACCCTTGTTATCCTTGTTTCGTCGACCTGCGCGACCGGACATCTACCGAAAATCCCTTCGCTCTCCCGCGTCGTACCTGAATGTACTCTCCGGGCGTGATCATTCGGTACGTCTCGCCGTCGAACTTCCGCAACGACGTGAAAATGCAGGTCTTGGCCGGCATGTTGATGCCCATAGCGAACGTCTCCGTGGCGAAGAGGATCTTCAGCAGGCCTTCCTGGAACAGAATCTCGATCGTTTCCTTGATAATCGGCAGCAGACCGCCGTGATGAATCCCCACACCGCGCGTCAGCAAGGGCAGCACGCTTTTCACCTGCGGGAGATTCCGATCGTCCACGCTCAGCGACGAAATCGCGTTCTTATAAATCTACGCGTCAGCCAGTTTCTCCGTCTCCACCTCCTGAATGAGCTTCTTTTCATCAGCGGAGGTGAAGTCCAGCTTGGCAAGCAGCAGCGCGTAGGTCTCGCAGTCCTTCTTACTGAACGAGAACACGATCAGCGGATCCAAATTCCGCTCCATCACCGTGCTCACGATCCGCTGCAGCTCCTCCGTCGGCTTCTTCGTCTTCTTCTTCTTGTCCTCCAGCACCTGGCTCTCCAGCGTGCTCAGTCCCTGCCCTGCCAGCGCCTTCGCGAAGTTCTGCTCGCGGAACTGCCCCTTGTCGTCGATCACCAAAAACAGCCCGTCGCCCCCGGTGGGATAGAGATAGTGCTGCAGAGGAACGGGGCGGTACTCCGTGTACACGACGTTCACCTTCTGGTTGTGGATCTGCGCGATCCACCCAGCGAAGTCGCGAGCGTTCGGAATGGTGGCCGACAAAAACACAAAACGGACTGAATCGGGGAGGAGAATGATCGATTCCTCCCACACCACGCCTCGCTCTTTGTCTCGCATGTAGTGGATCTCGTCGTAGATCACCCACGCCACTTCGCGCAGAATATCGCTGCCTTTGTACAGCATGCTGCGCAGAATCTCGGTCGTCATCACCAACACCGAGGCGTTCGGGCTGATCGTCACGTCGCCCGTCATCAGGCCGACGTCGGAGAATTCTTGCTCTAAATCGCGGTATTTCTGGTTGCTGAGGGCTTTGATGGGGGAAGTGTAGATGACTCGCTGGTGGTCGCGGAGACTCATGGCGATTGCGTATTCGGCGATGGCGGTTTTACCGGCCGATGTGTGGGCGGAGACAAGAACCGATTCCTTTCTCTCCAGACAATCGATGGACTTTTGTTGGAAAGGGTCCAATTTATAAGGGTATGTCTTCGCCGGGGTGGGGTTGATTTCTACTTCGTCGCGAGACTTGTCATAGTCTGGAAATGAGGAAAAACAAGTAACACCACTCTCGGGATAAACGACTTCATAGGAAATTTTCTTTCGAGGGTCCACTAGCTATTACACAGCGTAGTCGCGCCTACTGTCCGGTGTCCAATAATCCTCGACTTGGTGCTTCTCCTTAAAGCCAAGCTCTTCTTTCTCGGGGGTCTCGGGATTACCGTTCGCCATGTCCTTATAGGAACGCCTACCACCTAAACCCAAAACGGTAAAATCGACTTCAAGTTGGTCTCATCGCTCGGATTGGTCGCTGACATTTTGCTGGTTTAAGGAAATCAAGTACAAAATGGCAGAATAAGGAGAATAGTATATTTGAAAATGAAGCGAGGGAAACGGGAATTCGGGTGATTTAGCTGCAGTCTCGCTTTTCGTATTTGCAACAAAACATGAATTTGTAAACATGGCTCGAAATAGAGCAAGCAGGGAGTTTACGATTTTGCAGGTACAACTCGTGGAAAGCGAAGGGTCTTTGCTATTTTCGAACTTTGGTATGTTTGTAGGTTTGAGTCCATCTCCTTCGCTTCTTCTATCTCTGCTGAATGTCTTAGAATGTACCTTGCGCAGCAACTCCGTTGTTCACTGTAAAACCCGATTCTTAGGAAACATTTCCAAAGATTAGCTTAACTTTTTGACTTCTTGAGAATCTCAGCAATGTCCGACCGCTCTTACGAGGTCGACAAGTACGGCACCTATTACTCTCGAGAAAATCGAAGTCGTTCTCCATCTTCCTATTCCGATCATTCTGATGGTTCCTATCGTTCTCGCTCGGGGAGTCGAAGTTATAATTATAAACATCGTCAAAGAAGCTACTCGCGTTCACGAAGTCGCTCCTACTCGAGACCTCGATCTTCGCGACGTGACTGGATTGTTCCCACAAATCCTTTGTTAAGAGGAGATGATGATTCATATCATCGCCACCACCGTCATCATCATCACCACCACCACCACCATCATCGACATCGAAGTCATTCCCCGAAGCGGCTTACGGTAGCTGATAAGAAGGAACGGTGGGGACATGAACTCTATATAGAGAATGTATGTGAATTTCTGGCTTTATTATTATTCGTAGGTAGTCCTCAATCCAGAGCCCGAGCCTCCCCGTGTGGAGGGAGATTGGCAGCCTCCCCAGGAAAAGTGGATCTCGAAGGCAGGAGGCGTTGCGATTTTTACAAACAGACCAACGAGTGCTTCGTCCTACCAAGGTCGACACTCTTCGAATGTACCCTACAACTCCCTTGTTTCTTTCAAAAACAAACAAACACGCAGCAGAAAGGCAAACCTTACAATTCTCCTCTCTTGAATTCGGAGATACGGAAGATTGCTTGATTTACATCGTAAAATCGAAGTCAACCTCGTTGTTCATGGCCATTCCTGCCTCCTCATCACATTCTGGGTTCTCCACCTCCATCTGGTATGAACTCATCTGCTTGAGTTCCTATCCGTCACGCCCTTTCCTCACTCCTACTGAAGAGCATTCCTTGTTCAGCACCACATTTTCTATGGTATCCAGCAAATACGAAGCACAGGCGTCACGTATCTCCGGAATCTACCCGTCATTCCTCCTCCTCCTCTCTTCCTACGATCGGCGCTGGTACCTTTCCTCGTTCCAGCATGTCCCAGTCAATCGTGCGAAAGAACGGATGTTCTTTCACTTCCTGCGCATCCCTCACTCCTCCCAGTCTCGACGTGGGCTCCTTTCGCAGCAACTACTCTCGATTCCGCTCCGCTGCCCCACTTTATACAGCAGATCGCTCGCATCGGACGACACCGTCGACGGAACATCCACAGGAAAGTTTCGAATCTTGGCGTACAAACGATTGCGATCGTAGCTGTAGAAGGGATACTACAGATCACCCTCGCGTGCTTCGGACTACCCAGTGGACCAGCATTTCGAAGAGCAGCACGCCGAAGCCCCACCAGTCCACAGCATATCCGTGAGTGTTCTCTCGCAGCATTTCCGGAGCGATGTACTCGGGGGTGCCGCACAGGTCTCTCGAGCCTCGGTCTGGATATATGATGCCCTCCCTGCTGAGTCCAAAGTCCCCAAGCCTGATATGTCCGTCGAGCCCAATCATGACGTTTTCCTCCTTTATATCTCTACGATGAGGAGAAGGAGAGGAAAGCCCCACCGATGCATAATTTTATTGTTGTGAAGATATTCAAGCGCTATTACGAGTTCCGCGGCAAAAAATCGAATTTGGTCTTCGGTGAGATTACGCTCCTTGATAAGATAGAATAAATCACCACGCGGACAGTACTCCATGACGAAAACGACCGAATTGCTCTGGGATGGAAAGCATTTCAAAAAAATACAGTTTGGAAGGCGAATTCCAGTTTTGTTACAAAGGGATGGGAGATCTGCCGGAGAATGTCATACTCGGAGCGAGTTTGGTTAATGAGATGTCGTTTTAAGATTACCTCCTTACGGATGACTTTCATTGCGTAGAGCTTGTTTTGTGGAAGGTGGTGGGCGAGGAAAACCTCTGCAAAGCTTCCATCTCCCAATTTGCTCAGGATGTGAAAGGAAGATACACTCATCGGAGTTATAGAGTTGATCTGCTTCTCTTCGGAGGAGCAAAGAGAAGCATCATTGAATGAGTCAGTGCGCCAGTGAGAAGACTTGATGGTATAGTCGAATTCTTTAAATACAGTTTCGGAGTGCTAGAAGTGATTTGCAGGGGGAGGTCGGTACATTATGGTAAGTGTACAAATAACTAATAAATGTGGGGTTCGATAACACTTCTTTATACTGTACTATCTACAGGAGACTATAAAGATTCGATCCTACGTTACAAAACCATTCATTAATTGCGTTGCAAGCATTTTCCATTATGGTACGATCATTCGTAAATTGACAAAAATTCTTTGGAAGATCCGGGATTCTGCCACTTTCGGCCATCAGCTAAGTATCAAGAATCACATGCTCCATTACATCTTCCCTCAAAGACACTATCTCATCGTAGTATCGAAACACGATCAGCGGCTTATCGTTCACTAAATACTTGAGCATAAAAATCTACATACGATGAGAGTCTGTTTCACACATCACTAGGATCTTTACTTACTGGGTCATTGATCACATATCCAGACATAATTTTAGCCAATAGTCAAACAAATTAAACAAAAATATGATAACAGACTGTCAATAATTGGAGAAACTAGATACACTTTTTGAAGACTGTCTATTATTCTTATCTACCTCACCTTCGTTTTCGATTATTCTTTGCTTTTCTATACTATCCCACCATTTTCACATCATTCCACATCGTATCATCGAAGATTTTTAACATTTGATTTTTCAAATAACCGCGGGTTGCTAGATAAGAGTTTCATATTTTTGTATTGAGGGTTTTGATGTATGGAGCAATTGGGGAATTGAATGTAGAATGATCTCCGAAGAGTTGAGAGCCACACTGGCGAAGCATGACCAACAGCACTTGCTGAAATACTACGACGCAGGCTTGCTGACTGAAGAGCAGAAGGCAAGCTTGGAGTCCCAGGTACACTGTGCTAACGGTACTTTGATGTATTAGTTGCAAAAAATCGACTTTGACAGACTGAAGAAGATCTATGATGTTTCTGTGGCCCAGACCACAGAGTCGAGCAGCGACAGCACTCTGGAGCCTATGGACAGTGTAAGGAGTTTGAGGTGATTATTAGCTAGATTACGGACGTGGAGAAGCTGAGCGAGGATGAGAAGGCTGCGTACCAAAGCGTTGCATTGGATGCAATCAGCCGAGGCGAGATTGGTCTGGTCCTGATGGCTGGAGGCCAGGGAACCCGTCTGGGATGCTCGTACCCGAAGGGCATGTACGATATCAGTCTGCCCTCACACAAGTCTCTGTTCCAGTTGCAGGCTGAGCGAATTCTTCGCGTTCAGGAAATGGCTGCCGCCCGCTCTGGTAAAGGTATTCACTTTTGCTCCTCTCTCTTTCCCAGCCTGCGTCGTTCCGTGGTACGTGATGACCTCTCCGATGACCCACGCGGAGACTCTTGCTTATATCCTACTGAGATTTATTTGAAACAAGCGAATGAAAGCGAGTCAAAATCGATGTACATTGTGAGCCATTGCAAATCTCATTCCAACTTCTTTTTTTCCACCCATTAGAACTCTGTACTCTTTTTCTTCACTTTCCTTTTCAAACACTCACTTGCTAACTTGCTAACTTGCTAACTTGCTCACTTGCTCACTTGCTCACTTGTTCACTTGCTCACTTGCTCGTTTCCTTCACCCACTCTATGAGCAGCACCACTACTTTGGTCTCGCGCCCAGCCAGGTGATTTTCTTCAGCCAGGGCACGCTTCCCTGCATCGACAACGATGGCCACGTGATTCTCTCCACCCCCTTCGAGGTGCCTCGCCTTCCTCTTCCTCTCTCACCCCCAGATCGCCACGGCTCCCGACGGCAACGGCGGACTGTTCATGGCGCTGCATCGCAGCCACACGACCATCGCGGGCGTCGAAAGCGAGGCGAGCGTGATCGCACATATGCAGCAGCATGGCGTGCGTTTCGTGCAGATTTACGGCGTGGACAACGCGATCGTGCGCGTTCCGGACCCCGTGATGTTCGGTCTGTTCATGCAGGAGGGCGATGACGCTGGTAATAAGTGCGTGGCGAAGAACGGTCCGCATGAGCGCGTGGGCGTGGTGTGCAAGAAGGGAGGCAAGTACAACGTCGTGGAGTATTCGGAGCTGAGCGAGGAAATGGCGACGCAAACCGACGCGGAAGGAAACTTGGTGCTGAGCGCCGGGTTTATCTGCAATCTCTACTACACGGTGGACTTCCTGGTCACCAAATGCTCTCCCGAGACGCTCCCGCTGCTCTATCATGTGGCACGCAAGGCGATTCCGTACTATGACGAGGCGGAAAAGACGACGGTGAAGCCGAAGGAACCAAACGGCGTGAAGATGGAGAGCTTCATTTTCGATGTGTTCCCGATGTCCGAGAAGATGGGCTGCCTGCTGGTCCCGCGCTCCGAGTTCACGCCGGTGAAGAACGGAAATGGTAGAGCTGAAGGAGGGGTAGGATGGGATGTAGACGCGAAGTTCGACTGTCCGGATTCGGCGCGGAAGATTATGGAGGACACGTTCGCGCAGTGGCTGCAGGCGAGACACTGCCAGCTCCAGGGAACGCTCGATTCGCACGCGTTGGAGGTGTCTGGACTCGTGAGCTTCGCGGGAGAGAATCTGGAGAGACTGGAGGGACAGACGCTCGTGATGCCCTGTGTGATCTGCAGAAAGAGCGAGGTCAGCGAGAAGGAGTTGGAGGAAGCTGCTACGGTCTGTGAGGGCGTGGTTATGGTGAAGGGAGAGGTTAATAAGTACGTTTTCCTCTGAATTGTTTGTTTGGTTTGCGATTTCCACGTTTCCACTTTCGGGAAAGTCCACTTTTGGTGATTAGGAGCCATCGAAGCACCCTCTCGGGTATTCTAGTAGACTCGCCTTTCGTTTATCGGATTTTTGGTGTTAAAAATGTTCCATTTTGCTAGAAGTATGGGTGGGGGAGAATAATCACTCGCTAGGTGCTACAAGGGGACTCTCCAATTATTTGTTAGGAGCCATGCAGGCACGCCTGCTACTCCGACAATCGCAAAACGTGTTTACTCGCTCTCTGTTTGGTTTCGGAGGTTCTCCTGGAAATATGGGCTGTCGCGGAAACCCTGTGGACAGAAAATATTACGACCTTTTAGAAGTGAAGCCCGATGCCACAACCGACGAGATCAAAAAGGCGTTTCGTGTCCAGGCCATGAAACACCACCCTGATCGCGGTGGCAACATTGAAAAAGTGCTGTTTCGAGTCTTGCTTCATGATTAGTTCAAAGAAGTAAAGGAAGCGTACGACGTGCTCTCCAACGAAGAGAAGCGTCAAATCTACGACCAGCTGGGTCCCGACGGCTTGCAGCAGAACGAGGACGTGTCCTACGCGGAATACGCCAATCTCAACGACATTCTCTCCTCCATTTTCGGCGACGGCATGGGCGGCTTCTCGCAGCGCCCCACTCGCACGGAAGACATGGTACAGCGTCTCCCTGTCACACTGGACGAGCTCTACACCGGCGTTCGCAAAGACTTCGCCGTCAACCGCAACAAAATCTGCACCGAGTGCAAAGGGTACGTTTCTCCGTTTCCCCTTTCCCCTAGCATGGGCACCACGAAGCCGGACGCCGTGAAGCGCTGCCCTCGCTGCAACGGCAAGGGTTTTATCATCCAAACCGCGGTAATGATGGGCATGGTGACGCAGACGCGCACGCTGTGTCCCGAGTGCAGCGGCGAGGGCAGCAGCATCAGCAGCAAGGACCGCTGCAAGAGCTGCCGCGGGCGGAAGATCCGTCGCGAGCGCGAGGAAATGAGCGTGACAGTGCGCGCGGGAATGAGCCATGGGCAGAAGATCGTGCTGCGCGGCGCGGCCGACCAGGATCCGCATCTGGAGGCGGGAGACATCGTGTTCTACATCGACCAGATCCCGCATCCGGTGTTCCGCAGACGCGGGAACGATCTGTTCGTGAAGCAGGAAGTCTCGTTGTTGGAGTCGCTGACCGGCGCCAGCGTCACGCTGGACCATCTCAACGGCGAGAAGGTCCGCTTGGTCACGCAGGAGGGCGATCTGCTCGCGCCGGGCGCCGTGCGCTGCGTGGACAAGCTGGGCATGCCGCTGTACAACCAGCCCGGGGCCTTCGGCAAGCTCTACGTACGCTTCCAGGTCAAGTTCCCCACCGTGCTGTCGAAGCAGCAGAGGGACATTCTCCGCAGCGTGCTCGCGGAGCAGGGAGAAGCGAAGAAACCGGCGGCGGAGGAGCAGGGAGAAGCGGAGAAGCCGAAGGAGGAGGCCAAGGTGGAAACGGAGAAACCGAAGGTGGAAGCGAAGAAGGAAGCGAAGAAGGAAACGGAGAAACCGAAAGAGGAAACGAAGGCAGAAGCCAAAGAGGAAACGGAGAAACCAAAGGAAGAAACGAAGAAGGAAACGGAGAAGGAAACGGAGAAGCCAAAGGAAGAAACGAAGGAAGAATCGAAGGAGGAGAAGGCTGCGGAACCGGATTCAGTGGAGTACGTTCTGCAGGATTGCGATCAGAATCTCTACGGCAATCCCAAGTTGTGGGATGTAGAATCGAATCATAGGATTTACGATTAGGCACTCTTCCAATAAAGGCGAAACACTTACTTTTCATTCCAGTTCCATTCTCTTTCTATTCCCTGCTCTCCTGTTTGTTTGTAAAAAGAAACAAGCCAAATCACAATCGTCTCTTCCTGCGACGAATCGAGCGTAAACAGCCGATTCTCCAAAAACGGCGAGTCTGCACAGCCATCCGAGTCAAACTTCAGCGCTCGCCGCACACTTCTCTCCTCGCTCTCTCTGCTTTCTCTGCTCTCTTTACTCTCCTCTTCCTCCACCCACGTCTCCTCTACATTCCACTTCCCTTCCTTCCCCACCTTCCAGCCATCGCTGTCGTTTCCTCGTTTCGCTCAGCACCGGCAGCGCCACCGCCGCTTTCCTCACTCGCTGCAGCGGCGGCAGCACTTCCTCTCCCTCTACCCATCACATCTCCGCGCCGCTCCCACCCAACTCGCCCTTCTGAACGCGCTCATACACACAGTCCTCGAAGTACACGTCTTGCAACACTTCCTCAACCGTCGCTCGATCGCTAGGAACCAATCGCAGCAGTCGGCACAGCAAGCGAATCCCCGAATCACTACAGAGCGAAGACGGAATCAATCGACGAAGCCGCGTCGAAAGCGGAGCCGTGGCTTCGATGGTAACCGCGGGAATCAGAGGAATGGAACGGAGGTCGGGCCATGCTGTTTCGGTTGGATTTTCGCCCAGAAAGGAGAAGATCGTTTGGCACATCTGGAGCTCTTGGATCGACTCTGTTTATAACGAGAAAAGCTTGTTACGGGATCAGCAAGCTGAATGCCCAGAAGACGCAGCCAGGTCAGTGCGAAGCTCCACATGTCTACAGCATAGGAGATTCGAGGAAGGCCGAGAAGGATTTCGGGAGCATTGTAGTAACTGGGTTAACACGCAAATAAACGAATTGGTACATCGTAGAAAGACAGCTTCCTGTTGGGTAATGGTAGCCATCTGATTCACAAATGTGCGAAGAATCGAAATCTGTCAAACAAATCATATTCGAACGCGAAACTAAGAGATTGGATGGTTTGACATCCTGAGACTCAGAATGAAATAATGCGCATTACACAATGAATAAAATGATGTGATTTGAGAAAAGAAAGGGCCTTGGCAGCTGAAAAAAGGATGTACTTGACTTGCTGCTCGTTGAAGGGGGAAACGTTATCTGAAAGGTATTGCTGAATGTAGGATGGGTAAAATTCTTCAACAAGATATACGTCTCCGTCATGGGGAAAAACATCGATTAGCTAAGTCGGATAGAAGACCAACAGGATCTACTCGAACAATATTTGGATTCTGATAATATGAAAGCTCGAGTAGAGCGCGTATTTCTCGAATCAGTGTAATAGACAAGCCATACACTGACCGATTTTTTGAATACGCCCTCTTAATGGCAACGGTCGATTTTGTTTTCGGATCTATCTAGAAACTGACAAGAAACTCACACACTCACTCCAATATGTATTTCTCCGCACCCTCCCTTTGCATAGATTTCTCTACGCATACGGTAATATTTAATTTTGGATTCCACGAACTCGCCGGGCATGTCCAACTCTGACTGCTGATAGCCTGCACATAAGTGATGCCAGCATCCACTACTTTTCCATGAGCAATACCCAGGAGTTGCAAAGTCCATGAAGAAGGTGAATGTAACAAACAAGCCACTAAAAGAGTGAGCATTGTTACAGTTGTAAAATGTTCGCAATCTCGCTTTCTATCTCTTGCTTCTTGTTCACCAGAGAAGCATTGCAAACTCCCTTCAATATTCCCTTCTTTCCTCCTCCTTTTCCTCCTTCTCCCACCTGGAACAGAAGACTCTTCAGTTTTTCTCTCAGCTGGTCATCCTCACAGACCAGCGTAAACGACCTGCTCTGCACAAACAGCTGAAGCGCGTTTTTGTCCATCAGCTTATCGATGATTTCCTTTGGAATCTCTGCAGGAATTTCAAACACTTGCAGCGACCGCAAGGTTGAAGAGCTGGAATTCGAGGAGCAATGAACTTCATAGGTAGGAGCCATCGAAGCAGCCGCAAATCGCAACAACGCCGCTTTTGTTTGCTCCAGCGATTTCACCTGACTCTGCAACCCCTCGGCCTTCTTCACGATCTCCTTCTCGCTGCAGGCAAACGATCCGAGCAGCTGATTCAACGTTCGATGCTGCTCGAAGAGCACCTCAGAAGCAGCCATTCCGGCCTTTCCGGTGATTCGCTTGATTCCTGCAGAGATCGATTGCACTCCGCTGATTACCACGGGAAACAGATCGCCCGAATTCGCTACGTGCTGGCCGCAGCAGAACTCGCGACTGAGATTCCCGATGGAAATGGTGTGAAAAACGTTTTCTGACTGTGAGATGTGGGAAATATCCCCAATGAAGGTTCCTTTCGGAACCGTTTCAAGATCTTTCGCTGTGAAATCCACGCGTTTCACCGGGATTTCGGCGCGTGCAGCCGCGTTCATTTTCGATTCTACGAGTTCGATAAAAGCCTGCGGCGATTTCAGCAAAGGAGTCAAGAACCCCGTGTAAAAATCGAACGAAAACTCCTTCTCGGTGATGTGGGATCCTGCCTGAAGCGACTGGTGAACGCCCGACAACTCGCCCAGGCAGGCGTGAAGCAGATGAGTGGCGCTGTGATGTCTGGCGACCGCCTGGCGGTGGCGCAGATCGATCACACATTCGACCTCGCTATTCAGCGGGAGATTCGATGCGGGAAGCACGTTTATGATCGTTTGTCCGTGTTTAATCTTCAGTGAAACAAGCCAAACAAAACAAAACCGTATCCATCACCCCGATCTCGCGGCCATTCCACACAACAACGCCGCGGTCGCCTTCCTGACCCGCCTGCGTGGGGAAGAATGGACAGCGATCCAACACCACAAATTCCACGTTTCCACTTTTCGAAATCGCCTGGATTTTGGCTTTCTGCGACACGCTCGATAACGATGTCAGTTTCTCCATTTCGACGGTTTGTCCAGCGAAACGGCCACTCCATTGACTCTCCGGTGGGATCCCCCATTTTTCGACTTGTGCCATTCGCTCATTCTCCATTTCTTCCTGCAAAAGCTGATCGCTCGCCTCCGATTCCACGGTTATCTTCTTCTCCTGGAACAGTGTTTCCACCATATCCAGAGGCAGTCCCGTATCGGCTCGAAGCTGTCGGAGCGTTTCCTTCTTCACCGTTTCATTACTCTTCTGAAACTCCTCCAAAAAACCCCACTTTTTTCGCTTTCGAAGCGACCAGTTTCTTCCCTTCCGCCACAGCTCGCCAGAAAAACTCCTCCTCCATGCCCAAAATCCGCTCGATTTTCTCCTGGTTTCCCGCCAGCTCGGGCAGCTGCGCGTCTACGCTCGACGTTCCCTCCATTTCCCACGAAGAGCCTGGATAACCGCGGGAATCAGCTCCGAAACGAAGGGATAATCGATGTGATTCAGGTACGCGAAGCGAAGCATTCGGCGGAAGATTTTTCGAAGCACATAACCGCGGCCTTTCGACGAGGGAACGATTTCATTGGCCAACACAACGGACGTTCGAAGATGGTCGGCGAAGATGTGCGCGTGGGACGACGAGAGAGAGGGAAACCGAGCCTAGAAAGGAGAAACTGGGGAAACCGAACTTGGATGGACGACAAAATCCCCGTGAAAACGTCCGTTTCGAAGTTCGATGGAACTCCATTTAGCTAGACATGACCGAAATAGGCGCGATTTCTACGACGGAGAGCATGCGTTCGCATCCCATGCCGGTATCAATCCATCCGCCCTTCAAAATGAGGCTAAAAAAGAGAGAACGTACCTTGGACTGTGTGTTCATAAAAACAAGATTCCAAATTTCGAGCCAGTTATCGTACGTTGAGAAAGGGTCGGTCTATAGAAATTTAAGAAACAAACAGTCAAAAGGAAACTGTGAAAAAGAGCTCGGAGCAAAAGCCACTTGGAGAATCGCTACTTCCCATACTCCATAAATTGTCTTTATTTCCACGACTAACGATTTGGCTATCTTGAAACCCAGCAATCTATGTTCATATCGGAAAAAACTATTATACAGACTTCCAAATAGAGCGCGCTGAATCGTCTTTTTCGTGAATCGACACGCGGAGGTGTGAGTTTGGAATCTGCAGGACTTTGCTTACAAATTCATAGGCCATTGAAATCGCCTCGTCTTTGTAGTAGTCACCCAAAGAAAAATTGCCCAGCATTTCAAACATTGTTTGATGACGAGGAGTAAAACCGATCTATAATCCTCACAGCAGAGAGCCAAAAACATACGTTATCCAAATCATTATGTTTTCCTCCGGCACGAATACAGAGTTGTGAAGTCGTTACTCGACGGACTTCGCTAAATATAAACAAGTCAATAGCACTTATTACGGAACTGCTTGACCAAGGTAATACTTTTTGAACTGATTCATTCCAGCATTCACGAAAAGCAAAGAAGGATCATCCTTTGGAATGACACTGCTTCCAGGAACAATCGTGTGATTTTTAGAAGCGAAATACTGTAAGAACTGATCACGCAATTCTTTTGCAGTGTAAATCGATGAAACCTGCACAGGGGAGCGACTTTTAAAAATTCGTCGACTCAACTCCCTACCAGAACAGAGAAGCATTCAATTTGTGAAAAAGGAAAGGTAACGTGTATTAGGAAAATAGTAATAAGGGAATAGTACTTTTATTAATTTATAATTTGTTTAAAAATAGAAGAGTTACCCAAGAAATGTGTAAATGATGTAATCTCTTGGATATTGCTGAGGAAAGGGGAGGAAGATAAGAGGATCACCTATTATACGATATATACCGAAACATAGGAATCAAATGAAAGAGCGGGCAACTTTCTCGGTCAACGTTAAATATTTACATTCGTGTAGTATGGGGAATCAAAAAAATGGAGATGAACAAATGGTTCACATTCCATCAGGAAGGCAACAACACGAGAGATATAACGGAACACTATGTAGAGTATTATGTATCTAACGAAAACGAGATTTTACCAAGAGCCAGAGGATACAAAAGCTATTACCCTTATACCAGCAAAAAACACACAAATGAAAAATACGCATACTATAATCTACATGCATAAGCAACCAAGCAAACAGTAATAATAGGAAAAATACAATAATAACAGTAATTAGTCCGCCAAAAAGGAATACAACAATATGCCGTTTTCTATAACGTAACTTAATAGAAATAGGTCTTCTAAAAACAATAAAATAATTACTAAACGAAAAAAATAAATATGAACCATTCACAGGAAAAAGTGGAAATCATTAATTCTTTAAGTATGGTCAATTATTTTGGTAGAATACATAGAGAGGCACTATAATAATATAGATTCGTCAAAACAAACCAAAGAATCCAGGTATTTACTCAACAACTACATTGCTAGGGAAAAGAAGAAGATTTCGATGAATGGAGTCGACTATGAAGTGACTCTATATCAAGGAGATCATTCAAATGAATATTTAATATGTGAAATGAAAGATGGGAAAGTTGAGGGTCGATGTCAATTATTCAATCGTGGAATTTTGAGTCTTGCATGGATGGTGAAAAATGGCGAACGAGTCGGTGGAATAACAGAATATGAGAACGGTAAAGCATTAAAGAAGAAAAGTTGGGATTCTATCCTTGGAAATAATGGAGATCGAAGAATGATCGAAAACAGTAAAGAAGGATTAATCATGATAATTCGAAAAAATGAATGTGAAAATGAGCATGGTGATATAGTGGTCTATCGGGGCGGATTTGATAAAGAAATGAATCGAGATGGTTATGGAATCGAATATGATATAGAAGATGGTAAGGAGATAATTGAAGGTTATTGGTCCAAAGACAAGTTGATTCGAATCATTCGTGAATTTGATGCTGATACTAACCAAATGATCGAATATGCTGAAAACGATGATGAGAATGATGATGGTAATGTGGAGTTATTGAATCGAATTCCAATCTATATTGGAGGATATTGTATAGAAAATGGTAAATATGTAAGAAATGGAGTGGGATATTTGATTGATAAAGCCAGTGGAATAGCAATTCGAAAAAGTGAATGGGAACATAGAAGAGAGAAGGAAGGAGGAATCGATTTGTATGAAGGTTGGTATATGGAAGGAATGAGTGAAAGTATTCGAAGTGTATTGAAGAATGAAAAGCCAAGTGAAATGAAAACTGAACCAATTGTAAGTGTTCCTACCAAACGAATCACAATCTACAGTAGTTCTGAATTGAATGAAATGGATTTGAAGGTAACGGAATTGGTTTTCTGTTCGAACTGCTGTAATGATTTGAATGCGTTGGATCTGAACAAATTCAAATGGTTAGAATCAATATATGTCACCGATTTTTGTTTTGGATCAGTGAAAAAATTCAAAATTGATGGATTGAATCGATTGAAAACTATCAAAATCGTATTCAATTCATTTACTCAGATAAGGGTTGGATGTGGAAATGATAAATCGAAATCATTCCATATATTGAATTGTGAATCATTGGAATCCATTCAAATTGGTGAATGCAGTTTCAGTGATTTTGCTGGCGACTTTGAATTGAAGAATCTACCACAATTACGATCCATTCAAATTGGCAAAATTGGATGTAGGTCATACAATTTCTGTTGTAGTTCATTTGTGATTCGAGGTATTGATATGATATTGAATATTTGAATGATGCATAGATCTTCCAAATCTACAATCCATTACATTAGGTGATGCTGCATTCTGTCTTCCCTTATCAACAGTAATCGAAAGTATTGAATGAATTCGAATGAAATGATTGATTAGATCTTCCATCATTACAATCCATTCAACTCGGTGAATATGCCCTTAAAGGTTTTTATTCAAGTTCATTGACACTTCGAAGTAATAATGAATTGATTCTAAATGATTTGATTTGTAGATCTTCCAAATCTAACATCCATCAATTCTAAAGGATGCAGTTTCCAAAACTGTCGAGATATAACATTGCAAGGTATATCAGAATATTGAATATTGATAGTATTTAGATATTCCAAATCTTCGATATGTTAATTTACCTAATGCATTCCAGTGGTTTGTACTTGCAAAAACGTCTAGTATTGCTTAATCGATTTGATATCATTCATAGATGTTTCACATAAGCTCGCCTATCCTTTCCACAAAAATCAGCAATAAATTGTCAAATGAGATCGATTGGATACCATTGGTGGTAATTCTTCAACGTTAATCAATATTACTTAATTGTTTGTTAAGAGCCAATGTTATACTACTCTCTATATTCACATTATTTGCATAGTTCTGAGTGTATTTTGAATAACGAGTTATTTCATAAATGTTTAGTTTCATTTAAACACTCTTAATAATGAATAAGGAAACGTTGATAATATCAATTGTTCTTTAAAAATCCTATGATACTTGCGTAAACTCAATAAGCTTGTGGCAGAAAAGTAAGTTATGCTTTATAAATCAATATATATTTCCAAAGCTGTCTGTAAATGGAAATAATGCATATGTAGAAATCAACAAAATATATACTTCTTCAATATGTAACTGGCATAAAGGAACACCACCACTCAATACAATACAAAATAAACAAATGAACTGTAATGACAGACATAATTGATTATCACAAACAAATCATCAATCAATCTTATAATTAAAACTTGCTGGATGATGTATGTATATATATATAGATTCCCTACGAAAATTATGCTAAAAGCATTTGTGCTTTATATGAGATCAGCAAGAATGGAAGAAACATCTAGGAATAGATTCAAAATTACCAAATTATACTCGAAATTGTTTTCCTAGAGACATGAACAAAAGGACGGACCAATCGTTTTAGAGGTAGTTTGACAGTTTGAAGATTTGGAATATCTATTTGCAATCCATATTCATTATGTAGGATTACTTTCTAATGTTAATGAGCCAATACTATTGAAGCTACATCCTCCATAAAAAATTATGGATATTAGATTTGGAAGATCTACAAAGTAAATCATTTCGAATCATTTCATTATTACTATGCATTACCAATAAAGAGGATTCATCATTTTCTTTTCCAGCAAGTGCCCACTTACCGAGTTGAATCGATTGTAACGCTGGAAGATCTACATTAATCATTTCATTCCGATTTATTCAATACTTTCGATAATTGTTCTCACAGAATCCTGAAAAGCATTTCTGCCCAGAACAATAGACTGTAGATTTGGAAGATCTATGCATCACCCAAATATTCAATATCATATCAATACCTCGAATCACAAATGAACTATACTGGAAATTCTGTGATTCATTTTTGATTGTACCAATTTGAATGGATTGTAATTGTGGTAGATTCTTCAATTCAAAGTCTCCTCCAAAATCATTAAAACTGTATCGACCAATTTGAATGGATTCCAATGATTCACAATTCAATATGTGGAATGATTTCGATTTGCTATTGCCATTACTATTCTTATTACACTGAGAAAAAGAATCGTTTCCGATTTTGATGGTTATCAACCGGTTCAGTCCATCAATCATAAAATCTTGAAAAGATCCAAAACATTCATTCCCAATTTCAATACACTCCAATGACTCACAGTTTATTATATGAAATAGTCTTGCTTCATTCTTTTCTACAATATTCTTTTCTCGAGTAAATGAATAGTTTCCGATTTTCAGAGTTTTCAATCGATTCAATCCATTGATTTTGAAAATATTCGGTGATTTAAAACAACTACTACCAATCTCAATTGATTCAACATGGGGAAAAATAGATGTATCAAAAATGGTTAACTCATTTTCATTACAACTATTGTCTGGAACAACAATAGTCGATATTGAATGGTCAAGCAAACGAATATCTTCTATAAGAAGTGGTAGTATCTTAGCTAGTTCATCGTTAATATCTGAAAATGTAATCACTTCAATACTAACTATACTTATAATTGCTTTCGATCGAACCTTCTTGAATGAATTAGGTAGCTTGACATTTTGAAGATTTGGAATATCTAAACACCATCAATGTTTAATATTCAGAAATACTTTCCAAAGTCACCGATCGAGGATTACAAAAGCTACCTGCCACCGAATTGATGGATGTTAGACTGGGAAGATCTACATTCATCTATTTCAATTCATTTCATTCATACTTCGCATTATCAAGGAACATAATGTATCATCCGATCCAAATAGTGCTAATCCACCTAATGTAATGGATTGTAATGATGGAAGATCTACATCAATCATTTCACTCCCATTTAATCAGTACTTTCGATTATGGTTGATATAGATCTTCGGAATGTCCAATAACCTAATGTAATGGATTGTAGATTTGGAAGATCTATGCATCATTCAAATATTCAATATCATATCAATACCTCGAATCACAAATGAACTATAATAGAAATTATGTGACCATCTATTTGCTGCACCAAATTGAATGGATTGTAATTGTGGTAGATTCTTCAATTCAAAGTCTCCAGCAAAATCACTGAAACTGTATCGACCAATTTCTATCGATTCCAATGATTCACAATTCAATATGTGGAATGATTTCGATTCATCATCTCCATAATAATTCCTTTTCTGAGTAAATGAATTGCTGCCGATTTTGATAGTTTTCAATCGATTCAATCCATCGATTTGGAATGTTTGCACTGATCCAAAACAATCATCGCCGATTTCGATTGATTCCAAATTATACAACAATGAAACATCCCAATCATCCAATATACAATTGTCAATCAGTTTCAAATGTTTCATTCCGATATTCATTGGTTTGCTTCCATCTCCTTCATACTCAATATCGCAGTCAATTCCATTATACCATTCACATTCATTCACCAACTTCCCATATCGATCATGCACTTTGCCAATTCCAAATCGATTATCATCACACCAATATCCTTCATATTCAATACATCCATTATTATGATAACTCGTTCCATATCCAAATCGTTTCCAATTGATCATTATGCCCTTGTACACCAAGAATCCATCATCATCATACATTTCACCATATCCAAATGGAATTCCCAACTTGTTTTCTGTCAATACCAATCCTTCAAATCGACTTCCATGATCCAAATCCACGATTCCTTCTACTACTACTTCTATGGATTGTTCTTCATTATATGAAATAGCACCAAATTGATGATTTCCAAACACTTTCAACACTTTCTGCTCATTGACCACAAATCCATAATTTATAAATACTCCATTATTGAATTGCAATACTACACATTCTCTATTACTCAAAATGAGTGAAATCCAGCCATTTGGTTTCATTTCCTCATTCAAGCATCCCTGCACATTTTGAATAATAGAACTATCAATATGATAGTTACTAATAGCAGAATTGACAAAATCAGCAATGTTTTGCATGGAAATAGGAAGAAATATGGCAAAACGTTTTTTTTGAATCAAGATCTATTTCATAATTTCCAATAAGGAACATACTTTAATGAAATACACTATATTATAACACACAACATGGAATACGCACATAGCTTTCCTACTGTTCACAGTAATAATCTGGGTCCATTTCTTGATAATGACCTTTGGGTATAATCTTGAAATGACTGTGAGTTATTGCCTCTGGTTAGATTAACACGGAAAAATGCAATAATGATGGAAAGGTAAAGTGGAAGATACCTGCATGATAAGTGGTACACTTTACCTGTAAAAACGAACCCTAATTTTTAGCCTTTAGTTACTCCTATCATAATTATTGTTTTTAGTAATATGAAACTGGGATTTATAACTCGAAATGGATGCAATTTGAACATTATGCCAATTTGAGGGAGTGATTTAGCTACACTTGATCTCAACAAATACACATTACGGCAGTTTATTGAGATTAGTACTAATTCTATGCGCCATATAAAAAAAATCAAAATAGAATGATTTTATCAACTTAAGCTTTCAGAATCGGTGATAATAAATTAAATAAAAGCAGGTTATTTATCGAAATCTTTCCACATATTGAATTGTGGATCATTGGAATCGATAGAAATTGGTCAATTTAGTTTCAGTGATTATGCTGGAGACTTTGAATTGAAAGGCCTTGCAGCTTTATTACAGATAGACATAGGAGCTTATCAATTCAACTCGTATAACTTCTATAATTGCTCATTTGTTGCTTCAGGTTATTTCTGTATCTTTTATTCCCCTTTAGATCTTCCAAGTCTGAAGTCTTTTGAACTGGGTAGGTGTGCTTTTGCATTTTCAATAGCAACAGTTATTGAAGGTATTGTATATTACTGAGTGGAATGACTGACAAGATCTCTCGTCATTACAATCTATTCGGCTAGGATATCAGGCACTGAGGGGTAAAGATGTTGATATGTGTTCACTTGTAATGCGAAGTAGAATGAGAACTGAAAGAACCCTGACTATCTAGATCTTCCCTATCTATTATCCGTCGATTCTGAAGGTAAAAGCTTCTTTTCTCCTCGTTCAGTGATTTTAGAGAGTAGATTGTTATAACAAACCTCCATTTGATGTAGAAATTCCAAACCTGAATCCATTGATTTGCCTA